TAATTGGTACTTTACTTGCTCTTTGTTTTTTGAAAACTGCAACTGGTTTTAATGGGAGATGTAGTGATGAGCTGATTTTGCCAACATCAAATTTGGATGTTGCATAGACTGATGAGTATTTAATTAGCTGTTTGGCTAATTTTTCAAATTCGTCTTGTGTTATTTGTGAATGTTGGAAATTAAACATTGTTAAAAATTTCTGTTGATTCTCTGTGTAGTTATTTATGTTGAATGTCGGTTTGAAATATGGGGTTTTTGTGAAATAATCCGTATTTCTTTTTTCGTTACTTATTATATTATTTATGGATAATTCTTCATTAAGAATTGTGGATTGACAAATATCTAATAATTAGAGTATATTATTTACGCGATATGCTTTTTCGTATATTGGTGATATTGTAGCGTTGGTTTCGCAATAGCCTAAAAGTCCTCAAGGTAGTGTTACTTGATAGGGTGTATTGTTGTATACATGTAGAGAAATAATATCTGAATTCGAGTTTTTCAAATATTTTATGGATGAAATTGTGATTTTGAAAAACTTATGGATAGGTTTGAATTCAAAATCTGACATATAGAGTTGTTGTTTGTTTTGTTTTTTATCATATTGGTGAACTTGTTTTATTGAAAAATTATATATGTTTCCTGATAGTGGTTTCAGGTGTTTTCTTTGTTGGTTATATATTGGATAAAATTTTGAAAAGAATGGTGGTTGTTTGTTTAATCTTTGAAAAAATGTTAGGGATGTGTCTTTTGCTTTTGTGTATTTATCTTTGATTAGTATTTTACTGTTTAATATGTTGATTGTTGGTATGTATTTAGAGATAAATGGTATTCCAATGATATTGTGTTTAATATCAGTGATATGGAATATTTGTTTAAATGGTTTAGTTAAAATTTTATTTTGCTCCATTGTTCTTGTGGGGAGAAGAAATAATTGAATTTTTCCATAGTTTACCAATGTTGATCCTTGTGCTGTTGCTAGTTTACTGGAGGTTTCAAGAGGTGTTAGCTTTGGGTGTAAGGTTTTTATTTCATTCCATGTGGGAATGTTTATTATATTTGATTCTGCTCCTGAATCAATTAGAAAATCAATTTCAAGATCTGGTGGTTGAAATTCTTTGCTTCTTGGACTTTCTAAAAGAAATGGTATTGTCCAAATTTTTTCTTTGGGTTGTTCTTTTTGTATGTTTTGATAGATGTGATTTGTATTCAAGCATTTTGTTTTGTCATTCTCATTGGGTTGATTTGTAGTGTTAATTTCATTAGTTTTTTGCGTCGTCGGTGTGGAATTGATGGGTTCAATATAATAATTGTGAAGGAGTTCTGATTGATTTTCATATATGTGTGATGAAAATGGTTGTTCATATATAATAGGTTCATAGTCATTTTCGACTGCTATCATATTGATGGAGATAGTGTTTTCTGTTTCACTTTCTGAGTCTGATGATTCACAGTTTATTTGATTGTGTTGTAACATATCATTTACTGTGTCGTCAATACCTGGAGGGTCTGATGTTGTTTCTGGATTTGATTGCACTTGATTTATATTCCTTTGATGTTTGGGTGTACTACTTCTATGGCGATTATTAGAATTATTATAATGGTTATTATTCCTGTGTGGTGATTGGGAATAATTTCTATAACGATTATTATAACTTGAATGTCGATTTTGTGAATTATTTCGTGATCTGTTTTGGTAATTATTGTTTGGTCTGTTATAGTTCGATCTATTATATGAGTTATTCCTTGATCGATTGTTCGGGTAATTCTGGTTTCGGTTGTTTGAATAACTTCTATTCCAATTATTGGAGTAGTTTCTATTCCTATTGTATGATGAATTTCGTGATTGATTGTTTGGATAGTAATTATTTCTTGATTGGGAATTAGATCTAGGAACAAATCGTGTTGTATTTGAATTTGATCTGGAGTAGTTATTTCGACTATTTGGTCTATTGTAGTGATTTTGTGATGAATTTTGCGTATTTCTTCGTTCTGGTGATCTTCCTCTATAACTTGAGTTATATGGTGATTGATTTCTTGTATAATTTTTATTGTTCGGGAGTGGTTTTCCTGAACTGTTGTTGCTGTACACAGTTTTGTTCGGTAGATTTTGATCTTTTTTCATGTATTGATAGAATGATTTATTTGGTTCTTTATATTTTTGAGGTTTATTTTGATTGTCTTGCTGTTTTTGTCTACATTCAGAAATACTATGTCCGTATCGTCGGCAATAATTACACCATTTTTTGAAAGATGGTTTCCCTTTAAAGTTTGGGTGTTTTTCGTAAAAATTGAGTATTTCAGTGATTTTTTCAACGAGGTCTGTATCTGATTCCTGTATATTGTTGATACTTGTGGTATTTGTTTCGATTCGGTTAACATATTGTAATTTCAGATTTTCTGTTTCTTCGAGTTTCATTGTGATTTCTGCTTGTTCTAGTTTGTCTACTAGTTTTCGAAAATCTAAATCGGGTTCTCGATTTGAAGAAGGATGGGATGCTCTCTTTTTTATTGCTATTTTTCTTAATTGCGGTGTTAAGGTCATCATTAAGATTTCTGTCATCCTTGTGTTTTTATAGTCGTGTGTATTTAATGAATATGCTTTTCGAACTAGTGTTTCGATGCGTACTGCTAATTGCTTGATGGTTTCATTTGGTAATCTGAGAATTTCATTACATAAAACTCTTTGTTGTTGTTTGTTTCTTTCGGAGTCAAACATTTTTGAAAATTCTTGTGTAAACCTTTTCCAATTTGATTTTATTTCTATAGGCAATACTGAAAACCATTTTTGGGCTGCGCCGTCTAAAGTTGTTTGTATCAACGCTGTGCGTCGATGTATCCAGTTTTGATGTAGTGGCGTATTAATTGGTTCAGGTCCTATATTTAAAATCAAATTTGCTGTTACTGCATTTAAATAGTCTTCTACAGAATATTCAGGGTCTGTTCCTGTGAATACCATTAAAGGTTTATTTGATGTTATTGATGATCCACCCATAAGGTATGGATTCATTGTCATTTGTAATGATTCTGCTGCATTTGGCATTTGAGAAAAATTTGAAAGTTGATTTCTTGTTATTTCGTGTTGTTGAAGATAATATGGGAGTGGTATTTCATTTTGCATTTGTGTCGGTTGATACGAGTGTGTGATCATTGGGTTTTGTTGCTGAATTGGTTGAAAATATTGTGTATTAATTGGGTTTTGTTGCTGAATTGGTTGTTGATTTTGTGTATCTATCGGTTGTGGAGAAAAAATTCTATGATTTGTATGTGGTTTCTGTACTCCTTGTCCACGATATTCTTGATTATACGGTGCAAATATATCTGGTTGTAAAAAATCATCATCTGAGGATAAGTAATCCATTTGATAAGATGTTTGTTTTTTATTTTTATTTTGTTGAAAAAATGGATAGTTTTCACTACGATCCTGTGAAGGATGTAAATTTGTTTGAAAGTTTACTGAATTAGTTTGTGCCATTGGGTTATCCCAGTTTCGAGATCTTGTATAATTATTAAAATTTTTTCGTGGGGGATAATTTGTTTTTGATGGATGTGTGTAATTATAATTATGTTCTGCAAAATTGTTTCTAGTGAACGTTTTACGTGTTTTTGACGGTATTGTCATGGGTCTGTATGTTTGATAATCCATGTGTGAATATTTTGGGGCAACCGAAGGTTTAACGGTTGATTGTAAGGTTACTTGTGTTTGTGAAGGGTTTGTATTTCTTGGTGTTGTTAAATTTGGACGTATTGGTGAAATACTTTGTTGTGTAGTTGTTGTGTGTACGATTTCTTCATTTATGAAGTGTGATGGTGTCTGGATATCTTGTTGAGTGAGATTTCTAGTTCCATTGAAGTTTTCATTGTGTATGACTGTGGAGTTTAAACTATTATTTTGCATATCAGGTAAAAATGTATTATAGTTTAATGGTGTTGCATCAATGGTTAATGGTATTACTCTTACATAATCTCTTACATAAGATATCGTACTTATTGCTTGACTTGAGATTGATTGTGGGAAGTTTATGAATGCGGGATGAGACCATTCGGGGTCCCAAACATAGTCTGATTGTTCTGTGATGGCAGTATCATCGTTTGAGTTTTGGGGTCTAAAATTTTTTCTTGCTTGTGAAATTAAATCAATATTATGTGTGAAATAATCTATTATGAACCATGCCAACATTTTTTGTAAGTCGTGTTTTGTATGTTGTGAAACTTCATCTTTCGTGAAATTTTCTTTAATTATATTTAGAAAACTAGAGAGTAGTGTGATTTCATGTCGTACTCTTATATGTTTAGATGTTTCTGTCGGTGAAACATTTGTGATTGGGATTTCGTTTTCTAATATCGAGATATAACTATATATTATTGCAAAAACTTCATTGGTGAATATGGAGTTTGCTCTTTGTGAGTTATGATATTGTATGCTTTTTATATATTCTGAGAATACTTTTGAGAATTCTAAATCAAGGTCGTCTGTTTGAATTACATATTTGCTGTGATTCTGGTTTGGTGAGTTGAATTCTATGGAGTAGATTAATAAGAAGCAAATGCAGTACTAACCTTTTGATATTTTCATTCACTCGCACAAGAATTCTATCCAAATTCGCGCAGCTCGCCCACGAAGAATTGTTTAAATAATGAATTTCAGTTTCAAGCTTTCACACTCAACAACTCTAACACACGATAACAAGTTTCAAACTTTCCTTTAACCCGGTTGGAAAGGAATTATATACTAAACAATAAAGATAGGGATTCTTTTATAGCATCGTTTGTCTTCAAAAACGTATAGTGGTGATACTTTTTTGGTACAAGTATAAAAATTAGAGTTGCCTAATTTTTGAGATTTCAATTCGCTGCCTTTTAAGAAGAGCGTGTTTTATTCAGGATTAATGTAAATTTGAGTTTAAATTGACGAAAAATGTAAGTAATTAAATTCGTGTTTGATTTGTAGAAAAACTAGACTGAGCAAAAATGCAAGTTCTGGTATCGGTATGTCTAACCTTGGGTAATGATATATTCCTGTTTATTATGGTTTCTTGGGCCGGGAATGTAACTAGCATTAATGTACCCTTCAGTCTTTGCCTGGCAACTGTCCACGTGATCAAGTGATACCAACGCGTGATCGAATGGCAAGTGTCTTTGAGAGAAGCGGTTGCGGTAGAAGTTCATTTTTAAAATAGCGACTTCTCGAGTTGGACATGGAAATTCGACGTTCAAATCGTTAAACTCTTTTTGTTTTGAGACATAAAATGAAGTGTTAAATTCAAGACCGAACTTTTTAATCCAAATAGGGTTGCGGTAATCAAAAAGCAAGTCTTTGGATTTCATTTCGGATAATTTTTCATGCTTTGATTTGAAATAATTCTTCTTTTTCTGCCTTTGTTTCCAAACAATTCCGATAGTCGATAGTAAAATCAGAACTGAAATCTTCAGAAGCGCGAAAATTTGCAAAATGGTCGTCAAATCAACATGTTCAGGAGCTGGTTTCGGTTTTGTTGCTCTAGTTCCCAATCGGGTAATTGAACAGTGTTCGGGGGACGTGAATAAATATAAATGAAACATGTATGCACTTGATTGGAGCAAAGGACCATTGCACGTTTGCTTTCTTAGATCATTTTTTACTTGACAATCATTGTATGAATCAGAACCAATCGTAAATAAAATATACTTTTCACTGTCCTGCATTGCAGTTTTCCAAGGTTGGGATAATTTTGGACAAGTTTTGGGTATTTCATACTCATTTGTAAACCACGACTCGGGTGATCTCGTCTCTGCTGTCATAAACGTGCGTTTATCTGTTCGGCACTTTTTCTCGGCTTTCGGAATCCAGTCTGAAGCACTTTGTCGTTTCAAAGCATGCACGCGATAAGAAGTCAAATTATGTTTTCCAGATTGAAATAACCTGCAATTTAGTTTGAGTGTGATTTGGTGGAGCGTATTGTTATAAAGGGGTGCAGGGTCAATAAGGCTTCCAACATTTGGTCTTACGGGGTCGGCATTTGGAATCGAGAGAAGGAAACTTGAGTTGGAGCTGTCTCCGTTCTTATAAAAATTCCCAGCAACCGAAATTTCATAAACTGAGTTATATAAAATGGCCGAACTTTGACAAGACTGTAATTTTATCTGAAAATTTAGTTTCAACTGATATTGATCTTTTTCCAGTTGAAGAGTCGTGAAGTGATCTGGATCGAATGGTCCTAAATTCATATTTCGGCACCAAATTTTGTAGAACAGAAGACGACTTTTATCAGTTTTAAAGCGACTCCAATCACAGTGAATTTCCAAGTTTTCTTTCTCTGGATAATCCGCAAAGTTACACTTCAGATCCTTAGGAGGGCTCGTCCAATCAGGCATCGTGTAGCATTCATTCACACCTGTCTGTTTATCTATCAACAACTCGGAAAAATTACTAGCTACGAGTTGTTCATTGTCTACTACGCGATATGCCAGTTTTATGAAGTAAGTGTAAGATGAACGGAGGGGTTCGAGTCCGGCTGAAGACCTCGTATATTTTATCGGAAAAGAAAGACTTAGCTTCGCATCCTCCACTATTTGCTTAAAACTGTAGCCGTAACCGGAAGTTTCGTTGGTGTCTATGTTAATCATCCTTGAATGAGGGTTTTGATTTGATTGATTGGTACCAATAACATAAGAAAGTTGAATTTCAGGGTAATAATAGTCAGTTATAAGACCAGCATTGCAAAAATAACTTGTGCAGTCACACCATGGTGATTCAATTTTAGGAAATTCAGTTTTGAAATCGCGAACTGCAATTTGTTCTTTACATCCGTGAAAAGTGTTTTCACCCGAAATACAATCAATTTCTGAAGGTACAAAATCTGATTTGTGTGATACCATTGTGGTATCTGTTGACACTGCAAAGTAGAAAAACCAGCAGTATTCGACGCCAACAAGCGGCTGAAATTTTTCGTTTTTCTGCATTTCAATTTCGTAACTTAAAAAGTAACTGCTTTCATTGATTTTTCCGTGGTTCGCAAGCCGTAACGTGCAATTAAGTTCATTTAGTCCATGCCCCGCTTCTGATCTTCGAATCAAGTAATAGAAAAAATCTTTCTCTTGACAATTTTTTTTCTTTCTCGCAAGGTAAATTTTGATCGCAACTACCTCCAAAAATTGCTTTGTGTCCGGTTTGCTGGTTACAACAACTAATTTGTATTTTTTGTAACTTTGGTTTCCAGGAATTAGAGATAAGTTGTAGATTTTCATAACTGGCAGGGGCATTACGAGGGTTGGTGATAAGTAGGATATCTGGCTGAACTTTCGCGTGGCATCTCCGGTGCAGATTCGGCTAATTTTGACCTCGACCAAAAACTGTGATCCGGCTGGAATCTTGTCCACAAGGATAGGGAATGACCTAACATAAAAACGGTTACGTAGCAGTGGGGGCTATTCTCATGCGCGAAGGGCCGAATGGGCGAAAAAACTTGAAGGCCAAGGACCGAAGACAAAATTAGCCGAAAGTCAATTTTTAAAAAGAAACATTTGCCATTCAACTAAAATGAAACAAATGAAGCAATGTTTTGCTTCTTTCATTAAAAAACCCTTGAACTGTAAAGTTTATCCTAATTTGGCGGCGGTCAATGACAATTTGAAGATTTTGCAAATTTCTACCGTTTTATATTCGGCCATTATCAATACTGTAGTCCCTGGTAAGGTTTACTTTCTTTCCAAGTTTTAGATTACTGAAATCTGATTGGCTGATTTTTGTTTTCAAGCATTCAGGCCTTCGCGCATGAGGGATTCCGCCCGTAGGGGTGCTATTCTCATGCGCGAAGGACCGAATGGGCAAAAAAACTTGTAGCCCATGGACCGAAGACAAAATTAGCCGAAAGTCAATTTTTAGAAAGAAACAATTGCAAATCAGTTAAAATGAATTAAAAAAAACAACATTTTGCTTCTTTCATTAAAAAACCCTTGAACTGTATATTTTGTCCTTATTTTGCGGCGGTCAATGACATTTTGAACATTTTGCATATTTCTGCCGTTTTTATATTTGGCCAATATCAATACTCCAGTCCTTGGAAAATTTTATTCTCTTTCCAAATTTTAGATTACTGAAATCTGATTGGCTTATTTTTGTTTTCGCGCATTCAGGCCTTCGCGCATGAGGAATTCCACCCGTAGGGGACTATTCTTGTGCGCGAAGGACCGAATGGGCAACAAAACTTGTAGGCCAAAAACCGAAGACAAAATTAGCCGAACAACATTAAAAAAAACAATTGCCATCCAGTTAAAATGAATTAAATGAAGCAATATTTTGCTTCTTTTATTAAAAAACCTTTGAACTGTAAAATTTGTCCTAGTTTAGCGGCTGCCAATGAAAAATTGAAGATTTTGCATAATTCTGCCGTTTTTATTTTCGGCCAATATCAATAATTCAGTCCCTGGAAATGTTCACTTTCTTTCCAAAATTTAAATTACTGAAATCTGATTGGCTGATTTTGTTTTTCGCGCATTCGGTCCTTTGGGCATGAAGGATTTTACCCCTAGGGGGGGCTATTCTCATGCGCGAAGGACCGAATGGGCGAAAAAACTTGAAGGCCCAGGACCGAAGACAAAAATCGCCGAAAGTCAATTTTTAAAAAGAAACATTTGCCATTCAGTTAAAATGAATTAAATGAAGCAATGTTTTGCTTCTTTCAATAATAAACCCTTGAACTGTAAAACTTATCCTAACTTTGTGGCGATCAATGACAATTTGAAGGTTTTACATATTTCTACCGTTTTTATATTCGGCCGATATCAATACTCTTGTCCCTGGCAAGGTTTACTCTCTTTCCAATTTTCAGATTACTGAAATCTGATTGGCTGAGTTTTTTTTCGCGCATTCGTTTCTTCGTGCTTGATTGATTCGACACGTAGGGGGCTATTCTCATGCACGAAGTACCGCTTGGGCGAAAAAACTTGTAGGCCAAGGACTGAAGACAAAATTAGCCGAAAATCATTTTTTTGAAAAGAAACATTTGCCATTCAGCTAAAATGAAACAAATGAAGCAATCTTTTGCTTCTTTCATTAAAAAACCCTTGAACTGTGAAATTTGTCCTAATTTTGCGGCAGTCAGTGACAATTTGAACGTTTTTCATATTTCTGCCGTTTTTATATTTGGCCAATATCAATAATCCAGCCCCTGGAAAATTGTATTCTCTTTCCAAAATTTAAATTACTGAAATCTGAATGGCTGATTTTTGTTTTCGCGCATTCGTTTCTTCGCGCATGAGGGATTCCGTGCGTAGGGGGGCTATTCTCATGCGCGAAGTACCGAATGGGCAAAAAAACTTGCAGAACAAGGACCGAAGACAAAATTAGCCGAAAGTCAATTTTAGGAAAGAAACAATTGCAATTCAGTTAAAATGAATTAAATGAAGCAATGTTTTGCTTCTTTCAATAATAAACCCTTGAACTGTAAAATTCATCCTAACTTTGTTGCGGTCAGTGACAATTTGAACATTTTTCATATTTCTGCCGTTTGTATATTTGGCCAATATCAATACTCCAGTCCCTGGAAAATTTTATTCTCTTTCCAAAATTTAAATTACTGAAATCTGATTGACTGATTTTGATTTTCGCGCATTTGGTCCTTCGCGCATGAGTAATTCTACCCGTAGGGGTGCTATTCTCATGCGCGAAGGACCGAATGGGCAAAAAAACTTGTAGCCCATGGACCGAAGACAAAATTAGCCGAAAGTCAATTTTTAGAAAGAAACAATTGCAAATCAGTTAAAATGAATTAAAAGAAACAACATTTTGCTTCTTTCATTAAAAAACCCTTGAACTGTATATTTTGTCCTTATTTTGCGGCGGTCAATGACATTTTGAACATTTTGCATATTTCTGCCGTTTTTATATTTGGCCAATATCAATACTCCAGTCCTTGGAAAATTTGATTCTCTTTCCAAATTTTAGATTACTGAAATCTGATTGGCTTATTTTTGTTTTCGCGCATTCAGGCCTTCGCGCATGAGGAATTCCGCCCGTAGGGGTGCTATTCTCATGCGCGAAGGACCGAATGGGCAAAAAAACTTGTAGCCCATGGACCGAAGACAAAA